TACGACGACACTATGTCGTCGCAAATACGGCATGACACGTTATCATCAATGACATATTCGACAGAACATTCGCGACGACTTATTCGCGACGATTGTCGTCGCTAATATATTTGTGACGACATTTCAAAACTTTTTCGTCACAAATATATCATTTGCGTCAACATATTAGTTATTTGCGACGACATATTAGTTATTTGTGACGACATGACGTCGCCACAAATGAGCTTTTTTGTTGTAGTGTATTAGTTTTGCACTAATTAAAGATAATACTTGATCTTTTCTCTGAGATTGCATCTTGTATTCAACTCGTGCATTTTTTTTTTCGTGCATGTTCTTTTTTTTTTCTTTAAAAAATAAAAAGAAATCGTGTAAAGATTTTTCTACTTATATTAAGTTCATGAGTTTATCAATTTCTGTGGTCGATTAAAAAAAATCAGTGCACTTATTGAATAACTAAAAACATGTTTATACATATATAATGAAATATCATAATAGAATTATTGAAATTAATTCGCTATATTGTATAATATTTTTATATTTATCAATATATGTGTACATTGGGTTGATGTTCATCACTGAGTGGATTGGATGATTACAGTTAGCCGTCCCATCCATGAATATTAATGCATTGTGCTACATATATGCGTGACATGCACATAGATTTTTTATACAGAAAAATATCGGAGGCTATAATTGATTGCTCCGAATTTCCTTTTCCTTCGGTCCAATATTGCTATACTTTTCTTTCAGATTAAGAAATGGGAGTGCAAAAGTTCTTACATACATCCAGTATATATAATATATCATTGAATTTAGTAATTGTACAAATTTATATATTAACGTACAACCCAATCCATAACCCATGTAATAAAAAGATAGTAGATGCAGAAATCTTTAAGCAAAAACAACAAGATATAATGAAATATTTTTTTCACGTGCAGTTGACCACATCGAAGTACTCCATTCTGTCTCTCAGCGTCATTTGCCATCATATATAAATGAAATGGCTCCCACAACTAATTTACTAGTTAACATGGGGAAAGTCTGAATATGAGAAAGATGTAAAACAATGAAAACAAGGAAAACATGGTACAACTAATTTACTAGTTAACATGGGAAAAGTCTGAATATGAGAAAGATGTAAAACAATGAAAACAAGGAAAACATGCCAAAAAGATCGTTAGGAAGTGGTCTTAACTGCTGTGGTCTCAGATACACGTTTTCTACTTATTTATATGTTTCTTTTTATTTTTAGTTTTTTTATTTCTTCCGTCATAATTTGTTTATATGTAGGTACTTCATGACATTATTGCAGAGCTAATTTGAGATAAGCTACTATAGTACGGATAATGCATGAATATTGAAAAGTGAATACTATATATGGTGCACGTATTCAGTAGTGATCAAGGACCTTTATGGAGCTCAAAAAATTAAAGGAACTTTTATGGTGTTGGGAGAAAAATTCCCGACACCGTACTGAAAAGGCGATGACATGTGAACTTTGAACATTATATTGGAGTTATATAGGTCTCGTTCACTTCACAAATTCGAGTTTTCAATTCGAGCTGAGATGTGACATTTTTAGAGAGCTTTTCACTGTAGCAGAAAAAGTTAGATGTAACATTTTCTGATAGTTTTTTACTGTAGAAATCTAAAACTGAAAACTCGAATCGGTGAAATGAACAAAGCCATAATTAGTTATGATATACATGATTTATTTTGTGCCTCCACTGGGTTTTCTTTCTAATTTGTTAGTTTCTTATCTTTTTAACCTTTTGATTCCCTCCCTTGTGGTACTTGGCTTTGTTCTTGGTTGTTGGCTGTTTTGCTCTACTTGCCTTAAAAAAAATATGCATGTGTAAGTACATATGATCACAATAGTAAATTCCAATATAAAACACCAAAAGTAAGTAGATTCTCCAATATATCCCTAGCTAGCTTAATTGCCAATAACATTCAAGTACATGATGTGTAAACTCAGATGTGCTAGTTCCTGGAAAAGATTGGCACATCTATCGGTAGTTAGGAATACTAACATGTTACTTTGGTTGTGTTGGTGGGAAATAGATCCTTTCCATGTCATGATGGATGACTATGCAACTATTATTCTTAATGCTATAAAGTCTTGCTAAGTATTTAAAACAAAATTCCAAAATAGGTTAGTATTTGTATCATCTTTAATTAGTTAGTAATCGCTGCCAAAATTTATATTAGCGTTTCATATATCGGAAGGATTTTATTTTATTTTTGGTTTTTTTTTTTTTTTATTTTGTTTGGGCACCAAAGTCAATTCAGGTTGGATAAAATGTCGGTATTGGATGGTGTGGGGCTTGCTTTCAAGTACCGAACGGACTAAGCAAGGTGTATGTAATATGTTATTATGAAATTTTATTGACACCCCTTAAAAGTATAAAGGTACCCCTTAATTAGTAAAATGACTAAAAAAAAAAAGCATAACTCGTGCCCCTTTTCTATATGCACCCGACGTTCAAATTGTCTCTGAATCTTCCTTCTCAATAACTCTCTTATCCCCTCCCCCCTCCCCCCCTCTCTCTCTCTCTCTGGGTCTCGCATACTCGCTCAAACAAGGATTTTTTCTTTTTTTTTTTTTTTTTTTTTTTTTTTTTTCTCCTCCTTTTTATTCTCCTATCACTAATACCCTTATTATTTCTTTTTTTTTCAACTCCCTGTTCTGTATTCACTTTTTATAATGTTTCTATGAATGTAATTTTGCCATCTTGCCACACGAATTTAGGTCCTGCATTTGACCAAAACCACCGCAGACCACTTTCGAGAAAAAAAAAAAAAAAAAAAAAAACCCACCGCAGACCCACACCAGAAATCAAGAAGCTTCTAAAACCTAAACTGAGAAATTCAAAACCCACCTCATGACGAAACCAAGCAGCGAAAATTCCTTCTGAACAATACCATAGAAGACTCGCGCAAGCCTAACTAAAGGATTTTATATGATAGAAAAAGAAATATACACTATTTGTGGGGTGTACAAAATTTTCTTATCTTTTTTTAAGATGTGGGTGGACAATTAGTATTCAGGTGCAACTGCAAGGGTAAAATTGGAATAAAAATCATTTTTTTTAAGATATGAGGTATCTTAATAAAAACATGGGGTGTCAATATAATTTCCCTTGTTATTTTATTTTCTAGTCATTTTTATACATTTTGGAACCTATAAATAAGTACTTGATCACTCGCTAAAAATAGTATAAAAAAAAAAGAGAAAAAAAAATAGTTTACACATGTATATGCTGCAATTAATATTGTTAACTAAAGCTGCTTAAATATTAGATGACTATAAAGGTCCACTTTATTGATAATTTTCACTCCAAAAATCATGATCACTTTTCAAATATATTAATTAAGTAATGCATTACTATTTTTTCTTCTTAATCTATTAAGTAATGAATTATGATTGCAACGCACATGGCTCAACATATTATCAATAAATATTTAGGAAAAAAAAAAGTGAAAAAAGACCAACATATTCTGGTGGCATTTTTTTCTTCCGGTGGTATTTTTTTCTTGATGAAGATTCTGGTGGCTGATCAAAATTTAGGACCACATAGCCAAATATAAAATGTTTGCGTGGGGTATATAAATTTATATATACATTGAATTCTTGGTGTTTGAGAGTCTTTAATTGATGTATGTATATATAATGTAGAATAGGTTGATTGATTGGCGAAGACGACCTCTTTAATGTGTTGAAAAGCTTTTTTAGTGTTTTTAATGAAAATCTTTTTTTTTTTTTGGTGGGGGGGAGATAAGATGTTGAAAATCTAATTGGAGTGTCAATAAAATCTGTTAGCTTATTTGTATACATAAAACTAGCAAGTCCATTACAACAACGGTCATTATTTTCTTGCACAACCGTGACAAAAACGAATTAAGATTAAAATGTGTATATTAGAAAGTCAAAATTATGTATCATTTTCATTTATAAGCCTAAATGGTAATATCCGGCCAAATTACAAAAGAAAAAAAAACTATATGTGTGTGTGTGTGTGCGTGTGTGTCATAAAATTAGAATATTCAAACTAAAGTACTATAGTCTATAATATGTTGGAATTTAGTAAAATGCACCCCCACAAAAAAGACTTTGGAATATTCTAGATCTGAAAAGGATCCAAAGATGAATGAGTAAAAAGTCAATGTCGTTTATTTATAGTGATCTTGTTTGCAACTTTTAAGATTACAAACAGATGTTAACTTTCCGTAAATAATGTTAATTTATTTATTTAACAATAACCCAAAGAAAACATCTGCTCAAAAAGAAACTCAAAGAAAACTTAAGAGACGTTTGGTAAGGAGATTTATATCATGATTTGAATTATAATTTATAATTTATTATAGTATTTTTTCTTATAAAAAATACATATAAATTAAAAATAATACTAATTATATTATTTTAATTCATAAACTAAACGTCTCGTTAGTATTGACAAAGCCTACCCAGTTTGGCAAGAAAGGGGGAAAAAAAAAAATCTGATGACAAATTTTACCGCCACTAAGTTACAAAAATTCCCTCCTTGTAAGGGAAACTGAAGAATGTAACGTTGAATTATCAGACCCAATCATACGGTCATGATGACGACGATGATCATCATCATCTCATAATCAGCATCTGGCCAAATTAGCTGGCCACGTGTCATTCCAGAGACGTCCACCTAGGTCCCACCACCGCCAGTTCAACTGTCCAATAAAACGCCACGAGTCGCGATGACGTGTCCATCACATTTCACTTGCTCTCTCTAACGAACACGTGTCTGTGTCTCCCTCTGCACTAACCCGCTCGCGGAGAGAGACAGAGTCCCCAATTCCTGATCTCTCGAAACTACCCCTGCCATCCTAAACTATTTACATCTCTACGCCATTTTCGTATCCCGTAGCATTATCCGTATCTATACGACGCTGTATACGATGGCCACACCTAGATTTATGCCTCACACCTCAGCCACATTCACCTCTCTCTTTCTCTCTCTTCTCTCTCTTCTCTCTACAATTTGCTGAGCTTGAGAAGAGCTTTTTTGTCGGCGTTAAACAACAGATCTCGTGTGGCTTCCAAACTCCGTGGCTGGCCATTGTTTTCCATCAAAATTCGAAGCTCGAGCGATTCGGATCCGTCGTCGGAAAATGCGAAGGCCTTTTCCTCGACGAATTTAGGTGATTTTTATGGTGGTAGTTGGTCGCTCCGTCGCGAATTCTGGTGGTGTTTCGCTTCGCGAGGTTTCGGAATCGGAATTGGAATTTGAATTGGAATTGGAATTGGAATCGGAATCGAAGAAGTGCATGAGGGATTTGGCTTGGTGGAATCTATGTTGTGTGAAGGATTTGGGAAGGAGAATAAGGTGGGATTGCTCGTTTGTGATCCGGAGCAGGGGTAGGTGGGGGAAATGTGGCTAATTTTGTGAGGGATTTTGAGGCTTGAGATTTTTATTGAAGTTGTTGTTGTTGTTTTCTTTTTCTCTCTCTTTTTGGTGTGGTTTTTGTTTGATCTCTAAGAGATTGGAGGTTTCTTATTTGGGCGTAAGATTTTCTTTTGGAGATTTGGAGGCTTTGGATTTGAGGCAAAAATGCAGCAAGATCACCGCAAGAAGGTGATTTTCTCTTCATTTCTGTGATTCTCTGATGGGATGGTAATTGGGTTTTCGGTGTAAATTTGAAATTTTGAATAATTAACTTTAAAATTTGTGACGGCATTTTTATTTTGGTAGCTAAAGTATCGTGTTTGCTTGTGAAAAAGTTTGGATTTTTCTTTATTTCTTCCCCTTTTTTTGGGTGAATTGAGAACTGAAATAAAGCTTTTTGGGATTTCTATTTTAGTGGGACTTATAGTGATAACGGAGTCATCTTAGCTGATAGTTAAACATGGTTTAATTTTACCTTTGGCTGCTGTCTTTTTGGGGCCATATTCTTTTGAAAAAGCAGTGGTTTTCCATTCTTATTCCTGACTGTTGTCCCTTCAATTCAATTTTTGTATGCTTCCCTTGGGGTTCATTAGATGCTGTTTTCTCTCTCTCTCTCTCTCTCTCTCTCTCATTGCATCAGATTCCATCTTCAAAGGGAAACCTCTTGAGGAGCTTTTAACATTGTTTGTTTTTCTGCACAATTAATCTATTCTGGAGCTTGCTGTTTTTCACTACTCTAAAAGCAAAGAATTTGAGTGCAATCAAATGGTTTTTTCATTTTCCTTTTTTCTCCTTTGAGCATTGGAATTTCAAGTATCAAGCGTTTCTGAAGTAAAACTTGAAATCCGCATTTTTGTACTACCAGATTTCTTTTGAGATGTCATATAAATTGATTGAAAAGAATTCTATGGACAGTGTGGAGAAAGTTTACTTGATTTTGAGTGGAGAATGTAGAGTCAAATTAATTTGTATGGCGTATTGTTTGCTGTGAAATTTGTTAATTGCATTGTGTCTCGTTAGCTATTATAAAGGTGATGTGTATTTAATTTTAGAGAAAGTTACAATGGAGTATCACTACATGCTTTGCTTCAGCATTTTCATATAGGATCTTCAGAGCATTGTGTATTCTATTCATTCTTGCGTTTTCTTTTTCAGATAGCCACTCTATTTCCTGTATAGCACGCTTTTTCTGGTGGGTTCAGTCTTATTGTATTGTGTCAAAAAATTGGTTCATGAGTTTTGTGATTTTGATGGGATTACGGTTTCAATGCTGCAGAATACAGCAGAGGTGGACTTCTTCTCTGAATACGGCGATGCCAATCGCTACAAAATCCAGGAAGTTATAGGGAAAGGAAGTTATGGTGTTGTTTGCTCAGCAATAGACACTCATACTGGTGAAAAAGTTGCAATAAAGAAAATACATGATATTTTCGAACATATCTCTGATGCCGCTCGAATTCTTCGGGAGATAAAGCTTCTCCGACTTCTTAGACATCCTGACATTGTTGAAATTAAGCACATTATGTTGCCTCCTTCAAGAAGAGACTTTAAAGATATTTATGTTGTTTTTGAGCTCATGGAGTCAGATCTTCATCAGGTCATCAAAGCAAATGATGACTTAACACGAGAGCACTACCAGTTTTTTCTTTACCAGCTACTTCGTGCATTAAAGTACATTCACACGGGTACTTGTTATCTTGTGAATTACATCAATTATGCAATTTATTCAGTAACATCGAATCTACTTTTATTATGTGATTAAACTATTGGTTTGCTTTTATTATGTTATTTTCGATTACAGCCGTTGATTTTGGAATTCTTTGTATTACGTTGTCATTGAATGGAGAACTTGTCTTAACTCTAAGTTACATGGCTGCAGCAAATGTCTATCATCGAGATTTGAAACCAAAGAATATATTGGCAAATGCAAATTGTAAGCTTAAAATCTGTGATTTTGGGCTAGCGAGAGTTGCATTCAATGATACACCTACTACAATATTTTGGACGGTATGTAGCTTTAAATCAGAAGATGTATTTTTTTTAACTTATGGTAAAAATACTTTTCCAGCATACCTGGTTTGTTTCCTTATTATGTCTACTAAACATAGAGGTAATACCCTCTCATTTTTATTATTATTTTTGGATATATCTGCAGGACTATGTTGCGACCAGATGGTATAGAGCTCCAGAACTTTGTGGGTCGTTTTTCTCGAAGGTATAGATTGTATGGATGCTTTTGAAATTTTTAAAGTTTGGGGGATAGTATGAATGTGCTTAGGCCTCTATCAGTAGATTTTTCTGGAGATTTCAACTCCTTAGTACGGTGTTTAAGTGGTATTTTGCAAAGCTAACTTCATGTCAACATATGAAAGTTGGATTCATGGATTTGAGCTTTGCCGGGTGAATTTGTTGTTTCCTTTCCTAGTTCTACATCCTTTAGTTGGTGATTTAGTTCATAGGACAACAAATTGTTAGCGTATGAAACAGCCAAAAGTTATTGAACCACCTTTTACCATATCTATGAAAGTTAATGAAGTTTACCTTAGCTTTCGGGGTGCAAATATGTATTAAGACGTCAGAGCAAAAGCAGAGACTCTAATGAGTCCTTTAATATATTTAAAGAAATTGAGAGGAAAAAACTGTGTAATTCATTCAATTAGAAAACTAATTCTATACAACCTATATATATATATATATATATATATAGGTCAGTAGGTACAGGGCCACCGGTTCTCTTACTCACTGACAGCTGGCAAATCTCCTAATTAATCAAGAAATCATTCCTAAAACATCTCAAGTCAACTTTCTCTAATTACAGACTCTAATTACCCTAAATCTACCACATAAATAGAGAATAAAATACAAGTAAATTACAGTTTTTGCATTCCTAAGGCTAAGGAACCGGGATCATAATTTAACACTCCCCCTTAAGCTAGGAATAGATGTTAATCATTCCTAGCTTGGAAATAAGATCTTCAAATGTAGTTCGAGGTAGAGCCTTTGTGAATACATATGCAACTTGTAGATTTGATGGAGTGTAGATCAAATCTATTAACCCTTCCTCAACTTTTTCTTTGATAAAATGGCAATCTAGTTCTACATGTTTTGTCCTGTCATGATGAACTGGATTCTTCGCAATGCTGATTGCCGCCATCTTATCACAGAACATCTTCGTTGGTTCGTCACTTTTTACTCGTAACTCCCTCAACACCCGAACCAACCAAATTCCTTCACAGATCCCTGAGCTAGTGCTCTAAATTTAGCTTTGGCACTACTCCTTGCTACCACAGATTGCTTTTTACTGCGCCATGTAACTAGATTGCCCCAAACATAGGTACAATAACCTGTAGTAGACCTTCTATCGGTGATGGATCCTACCCAATCTGCATCCGAATAGACTTCCACATTTCCCTTAACATTCTTCTTGAAGAATAGACCTTTTCCCGGTGTCATTTTCAGATATCTCAATATTCTGTAAACAGATTCAAGATGTTCTTCATTTGGATTGCTCATGAATTGACTTACCACACTCACAGAAAATCCGATATCTGGTCGTGTGTGGGAGAGATAAATCAATTTACCAACAAGTCACTGGTATCTTCCCTTATCAACTGGAGGATTTTCTTTTGCCAACCCTGCCTTATAGGTTGACTCCATAGGAGTTGTAGCAGGCCCGCAACCTAACATTCCTGTCTCCTTAAAGCATGTCCAAGACATACTTCCTTTGAGAGACAACAATCCCCTTCCTTGACCGAGCTACTTCCATGCCAAGGAAGTATTTTAGATTCCCAAGATCCTTTACTTCAAATTCTCTGGCAAGAACACCCTCCAATTCTTCCAATTCTTCAACATAACTTCCAATTAGGATGATATCATCGACATAGACAATAAGAACTGCCACTCTACCATCTTGTGAGTGTTTTATGAAGCAAGTGTGATCCGCCTACCCCTGTATGTATCCATATCGTTTGATAGCTTTTGTAAACTTATCAAACCATGCTCTCAGGGATTTTTTTTTGCCATATAATGACTTCTGCTTCTTACACACCTTATTAGTATTCCCAGCATTTTCAAAACCAGGAGGAATCTCCATGTAGACTTCATCTTCTAGGTCCCCATTTAGAAAGGCATTCTTAATATCAAGTTGGAGAAGTGGCCAATCGAAATTTGCAGCCAAGAATAATAATAACCGAACTGTATTGAGCTTTGCAACCGGGGCAAACGTTTCTTGATAATCAACACCATAGACTTGTGTGAATCCCTTTGCGACGAGTCTTGCCTTATAACGCTCTAAACTGGCATCAGCCTTATACTTCACATTAAAGATCCATTGACAACCAACCGGATGTTTTCCTCTGGGTAGATCCATAAGTTTCCATGTCCCATTCTTCTCCAAGGCCCTGATTTCAGCCTCAACAGCATTCTTCCACTTTGGGTTCTTCAAGGCTTCATATATATTTCCGGGAATTTCTACATTGGAAAGATTTGCAGCAAAGGCACAATATTGTGGGGGGCCTTTAAAAGACACAAAATTATAAATGGGATGTTGGGTACAAGACCTGACTCCTTTTCTTAAGGCAATGGGAATATTAAGATCACTATCTGAAATTGAATCAACTTGAGTTTCAGGGGTTGTTCTTTTGCAATAAAACTCAGAAAAAGTTAAAACTCAAGTTACAGCTTTATTCAAGTTCACGTTCTTTTAAGTTCTAACTTTATTCAACTTTACTCAACTTTATTCAAATTACAACTTCAACTCAAGTTATAACTCAAATTCAACTCAAAAACTACACTCAAGTCACACTCCAAAAGAACAGGCCCTCAGTTTTTTGAGGTATACTTGGACTTTCATGAATTGAGTCAGATTCCTGGTAGTGCTGGGAGTATGTGACTGGTTCTATCTCATCTTGGTTCCTCTTCCTTCTGGAGTACACAAGTAGTTCTTTATTACCTGCAAGTTGTCTAGGAATTAGACTAGAGGTAGAAGTGGGAGGCTCGGGAGAAGCATTAACTACTGGAACCGAGTTGAATGGGACTGAACTTGGACTAGACATGGATGGATTCGGACTAGACATGGCTGGAATGACAGTTGGGACATGTTTAGAATTTGACTCAGGAATTGGGTTGGTGTTTTCATTCCCTGGTTGGCTATACTCGGGTTCAAAAAAATTACAGTCTTGTAGTCTATTCTCCCCCTGAATGGAATTTTTTGAATAAAAGGCATGTGTCTCAAAGAAGGTGACATCCATGGAGTGATAGATTCTCTTTCTTTCAGGTGAATAACACTTATACCCTTTTTGAGTGGGAGAGTAGCCTAAGAATATACATTTAATGGATCTAGCATCAAGTTTACCCCTAAGCTGTGAATGCACATGCACAAAGGCAGTACAACCGAAGATTTTTAAAGGTATACCTGAGGTAAGCCGAATAGAGGGGTATTGGTGAAGAAGTAGCTGATGAGGTGTTTGAAATTTTAAGACTCTGGAAGGCATACGATTAATGAGATAGGTGGCAATCAGAATAGCATAACGTTCATGGAGAACATAAGTGATCTAGCCACTTCAAGGAGATGCCAATTTTTCCTTTCTGCCACTCCATTCTGTTGTGGTGTATCGACACAAGAACTCTGATGGATAATTCCCTGATGGATATTCCCCAAGATTATCATTAAAGAAATCACGAGCATTGTTAGAACAAAAAATTTTAACCTTTGCCTGAAATTGAGTTTGGATCATTTGATGAAAGTTTTTAAAGATTGAACATGCCTTTGATTTTTCTTTCATGAGATATACCCAGGTTACACGAGTATGATCATCCACAAATAAAATGAACCACTTTGTCCCTGAAATATTTTTAATTCTTGAGGGACCCCATATATCACTATGAATCATGGCAAAAAGTAGAGCGTTTTTATATCCCTGAATAGGATAGTTGGTTCTAACATGCTTTGCTAACTGGCAAACTTCACATTGAAGGGAATTAATGTTTATTTTATTGAACAACTCAGGAAACAGTTTTTGAAGATACGCAAAATTAGGATGTCCTAGTCTATAGTGTCACAACATCACTGCACTATTTTTATTGGCAGAATTGAAAGACACGGAATTTAAACTAACAATGGGAACACTTCTTGCAAGTTGAACTTGTCTTCTCGGAATTTTTGGTGCCTTGATGAGATAGAGCCCTTCACATAGTTCAGCACTGCCAATCATCTTCCCTAATTCCAAGTCCTGAAATTAACATAGGGTAGGATAAAAATTAGTGACAGTTTAGGCTTTTTGTGAGTTGGTTTACAAACAACAAATTACAGGTGAGTTTAGGAACAAATAAAACAGAGTCCAGGATCAATTTATCAGATAAAATAACCGTTCCAATTCCTGCCACCTTTGACACTGTGCCATCCACAATACGAACTGTGTAATTTTCGGGGCGCAACTGGATTTTATGGAAGACTTTTATTTCCAGTCATGTGATCCGAAGCCCCTGAATCAATAATCCATTTTGTGAGTTTTTCAGTCTGAGTATTTAAGGCTCTTGAAGGAATACCTTTCTGGGCAATTAAGCTTGACCTTGTATCTTCGGGCTGAGAAGATGGTGGTCTGCCACTGATCAGCTTCTGAATAAGATCAAATTGTTCTTTTACTAAAAGGCATATTTGTCTCTGTTTTCTCAGTCTCTTTCCCATCTCTGCTTGCTGCAAATCCTTGGTTCTCTGTGGAGTTTCTCGGCTTCCAATCTACTGGCTTGCCATGAATCTACCAGCAGGTTTTGCGACTGTGTCCTGGTTTCCAATAGTGATTGCACCAGGGTCTTCTGTTGCGCCATGGTTGATTGTTTGGATTGGGCATATGGACTGCAAGGGCTGAACCTTCATTAAGAGTTGATTGTGCAGTTTTTCCCAGCATCACCTTTTTCCGGCTCTCCTTTCTTCGAACTTCCGAGTATGCTTCTCGTATCGACGGTAGTGGTTTGGTGGCCAGAATCCTTCCACGAACTTCATCAAGACTTTTGTCCAAACCAAGGAGGAACTGGAATAGCCTGCCTTTCTCTACATATTTTTGATACTTCTAATTACATTGTGCACACTCAAACATGACTTCATCCACCAAATCCAATTGCTGCCAGTGACGGTTCAGTGTGTTGAAGTATTGAGTGACCGTCTGATCTCCTTGCTTCAGATCAGTCAATATGCCTTTGATCTCGAACAGTTCTGACGTGTTGTCCTTGTCTGAATAGGACTCCTTCACAGCGTCCCAGATTTCTTTAGTCGTATGGTAGAACATAAACACTTCCCCTATTTCATTGGTCATTGAATTAATCAGCCACGACATGACCATATTGTTCTCTATTTTCCACTGCTTGTATTTTGGATCATTGGGTTTTGGAACTATAATAGCGTCGGTGAGGTAATCGTCTTTGCCTTTTCCACAGACATACATCGTAACTGATTTGGACCACTGAACATAATTCTTCTCACCAAGTTTATGACCGGTAATGGGAAGAACGGCTGACTCAGGATTGTTTGTTGGTGTTGAAGACATGATCTCCGAAGTGGAGAGCGGATCTACGACCGTTTGGCGCAAGCCATTAAGAGATTTCTTTGTGAAAGAGGATGGGTGCCCCATGCGGTGCTTTAGAGGGTTTAATATCACCCGCTTCAAGCAATTCTTCTAATTGCTTTCAAAGTTAGGTCGTCACATCTGATGATGGTGAGGGTGTTTTTTCACTGGACATGACTCTTGGAGAAAGAATGACTCACTCAAGGATGGGGCAGACTAGAGACTATCGCTCTGATACCATAAAGAAATTGAGAGGAAAAAACTTTGTAATTCATTCAATTAGAAAACTAATTATGTACAACCTATATATAGAGGTCAGTAGGTACAGGGCCACCGGTTCTCTTACTCACTGACAGCTAGCAAATCTCCTAATTAATCAAGAAATCATTCCTAAAACATCTCAAGTCAACTTTCTCTAATTACAGACTCTAATTACCCTAAATCTACCACATAAATAGAGAATAAAATACAAATAAATTACAGTCTCTGCATTCCTAAGGCTAAGGAACCGGGATCATAATTCAACAATATTGCCTTACGTTTATAAATTGTTAATGTTCTTTTCATTTAATTTTGTTCCTTTAGGTTTTCTTTCTATCTTTTGTTTGAGAGGACTTTTTGCCCTTCCCATTCTCTTGCATCGGTTCGTCCTTTAATAAAATGGTTTATGTTCTCCTTAAAAACCAACAAAAGTGTCCTTATCGTGGTTAGTTCTTGTTCAATTGGCATTTGAGAACTTTGTTCTTTTGGCTTATTACATGATGAAAATATGTGGCTGCAGTACACGCCTGCAATTGACATATGGAGTATAGGCTGCATATTTGCTGAGGTATTAACTGGGAAGCCTCTGTTCCCTGGTAAAAATGTTGTTCACCAGCTGGATTTGATGACAGATCTGCTTGGGACGCCTTCATTAGATACCATATCTCGGGTTAGAAAATTTGTTCTTTTCCATAAGATCTGGTAATATTTCTCATTTGTGCTTCAAATATGCTCAAAATGAACTGAAATGTCACAAACAAACAGGTCCGAAATGACAAAGCAAGGAGATACTTGACTACCATGAGGAAAAAGCAGCCTGTTCCGTTTGCACAGAAATTTCCTAATGCAGATCCTTTAGCAGTACGACTCTTGGAACGATTACTGGCCTTTGATCCAAAGGACCGGCCAACTGCTGAAGAGGTTTGTCATGGTTTTATTATCAGATTTCCATCTTTGGTTCAAAAAGCTACGCCCTATATTGCATCGATGATACAGATTCTTGCCCATTCTCTGCTTCATTATTTTTTTACTTTTGTTTTTCTCATGTCAATGTATTGAATGTATGTAATTTGGTATTATATCAGGCATTGGCTGATCCTTATTTTAAGGGACTGGCCAAAGTAGAGCGGGAACCTTCCTGCCAGCCGATTACAAAGATGGAGTTTGAATTTGAGAGGCGAAGGGTCACAAAAGAGGACATACGAGAGCTTATCTTCCGAGAAATATTAGAGTATCACCCTCAGTTGCTGAAAGATTACATGAACGGAACTGAGAGGACTAATTTCCTCTATCCAAGGTTCTGAGTGTCATTTGGATCATCCTTGGTTGAAACATATGTTATGCGGCTGAATTAATATTTTCTCTATTTCTTCCTGTTCCCTGACCTTGGTGCGTATTCATATACAGTGCCGTTGATCAATTCAGAAAGCAGTTTGCACATCTCGAGGAAAACGGTGGTAAAAGCGGTCCAGTTGTCCCACTTGAAAGAAAGCACGTCTCTCTTCCTAGGTAAAATACAGTTCTTCGGGTTCCATTGGTTTGATGTCGATGAAGTTTTAAAGTACTTAAGATTAGTGAATGTACAATTTTGTAGCTCTGTAATATGCTCAAATTACTCTGTCAGGAATTCTCCAATATCATATTTGCATTGTGTTTGATTACTAAAATTTATGATCGCTAAATATTCCAATACAATGTACTCATAGGTCTACAATTGTACACTCAAATACTGTTCCTACCAAAGAGCAGCACAACTACGCCTCGTATAGAGATCGGCAAAATGCAGAAGAGGCATACAAGACTTCAAAAGATATGGAAGTAGTTCAGGTGAATATAGCAAGGAGCATGCAGGCACCTCAAAGAATTCCTCTGGGTACTCTTCGCTCTCAATTTTTTATCTGAGTGTCCTTTTCTCCATTTTTTAGTGAATTTTACTGAAATTTGTTGTGTTCAGCCAAACCAGGAAGAGTTGTTGGGCCTGTTGTACCATATGAGAATGGTAATCTGATGAAAGATGCGTATGACCCAAGAACGTTAAATAGAACCGCAGTCCTTCCCCCTCAGGCTGTTCCTCCAGTTGCTTACTGCTATCGCAAACCTGGTGTCGGAAACCAAGAAAGGTCAGCGGCAGAAGCCAGCAAGGACATGCCGTCACAGACCAAACAAGCTGCTCAATGCGGCATGGCAGCCAAGTTAGCACCGGATATTGCCATCAATATCGACACCAACCCATTTTTTATGACACGGGCGGGAGTCACAAAGGTGCAACAAAATGACCGAATCCCTGCTATGGACGTTAACTTGTTGCAGGGAAAGGCTCCATATGGAGGGATTAGTGCGGCCGCTGCCGCCGCTGCCGGGACTGCCCACCGGAAAGTTGGAACTGTTCCATTTGGTATGACGAGGATGTATTAGGCAAAATGGATGACGGGCATTTTTTGGCTAATGGAGGAGGTTATGCTGAGTCCGTTAATAGAGCCAGCTCTCTTATTCATGTTAGATACGGTACATTTCTGTCACAAGATACTATATATTTCCATGAAATTATACGTTCAGATTTATAAAGAAAGGTCCTCTCTCGCCGCGCCCCCACCCACACCC